ATTTAATTTAATTTATAAAATATATTAATTATATTAATTTTAAAAATGGGGTAAATTGATAAAAATATCACATTAACATTCTATTTTTTTCCCTTACCATTTTTTTAACTCTTTCCTTCCCTTCCCTTCCTCTCCCTCGTCGTGGATCCCTTTTCTTCCCTTCCACTTTAAACTCACCAACAAATCCTAAGGGGCTGTTTGGTTGAAGGATTCTGTTGAGAATAATAGATAAATGAGAAGTGGGAATATAAGAAACCATCGTTTGGTTCAAGGTGGTTCCTGACTTAGCTACCTAATTTCGAATGCTACCAAACATATTTCCCTATCTATTTCTATCGATATTGCCGGCCAAAGTTGCCCTTTTGCAATGTAGTATTGCTGAAAACCTCCATATTTGCACACACCGCATACTAAAGAAAAGACCAGTACCCCTTGTTTGCGCGCGAAAGGACAATGTCGTAGCAAATCTATTTGCAGACTTGTTTAGATATGTCACTTTCCAAAGACCAAGAATTGCACACGGACACAGGGAAACATTCAAGGGAATGGATGTGCGAAATAGGCTTCACCATCGTCTTGTTTCTGGTATGAAACCGAAAGGAAACCATCATCAGTGAGGCCGAAGTTTGGTTGCTGTGGGAGGTAACTCGGTGGAACAAAAAAAAAAAATTTGTCTCTGTTTTTGGGTGCTTTCCACACAAAGACAGTGTTTTTTCCCTTCATCCATGTCCATGGTGTTTTTTTTTTAATTTCAGAAATTGCATTTAGGTGAAAAAACTTGTGAGACGATGTGCAGCAAAAATGTGTTCATAGCATAATGTTCAAATTTCAAGAAGAAAAGTTGCATAACTTCATAATGTAAGAGATGTTCTATTGAAGCTCAAACATCTAAAGAAAGATGAAAAATAATGATAAAAAGAAAGGGCTTGTTTTGCCTTATCGTTAATAAAAGGTAAACATGAGCTTTGAATCGTGAATTCAATTTATTACTTTGATAACAAAGGAAAAGCAATTAAAACTACATTAGATCAGCATAATTCAACTATGATTTCACAAACAAACAAAAAAAATGCAAAGCATGCATATCGTTGAAATTAATAGATGGTACCATTCTCTTTTACCTCTTCCTTAGATTTTCCATTCTCTTTCACCTCTTCCTTAGATTTTCCATTAGCTTTCACCTCTTCCTCTTGACCCAACTGTTCTTTTTCTTTTCAGCCTTCAACTGTGCTTCTTCATCCTCAGCCTTTTTCTTTGCTTCCTCCTCTGCCTTTTTCTTGGCTTCCTCTTTGGCCTTTTCAAGAGAATCAATCAGATTCTCAAGTCTCTGAATATTCAATAATTGACTTAGGCAACAGCAAAAAAATTTAAAATCAAGGGTTATTTTTGTAATACCCACTGCATTTTCCCATCTATATGTTGCTTACAGCCAAACATAGACTTTACAAAAGTTACCTAATTTTCACTGTAAATTTTTTTCTAACCTAACAACTTTTTCTTACATTTTCCTACCAATCTCACTTCCCACCTATTTCCCTATACATAACATTTCCCTATTATTCATAATATTTCTCCTCAACCAAACGCACCCTAAGGAATTTATGTCTGGTTTCATAAATAAGTTGGCTCCTGATGGTTGATAGGGTACAAGTGTTTGAAATCTGGTTTGGCTTTGTCTTGTCTTAATTTTTGAAATAATGTTTTCGAGTAAACACAGGCTTGCCTATATGATTTAATGTTTCAGAATAAAATGTTACCCTAAGCTGATGTCATAAATCAGGACTCAAAATAATTTGAAATACAGATGGTGTTTTGATGCGTACGCGGTAGGATTCATGGGAAGGTGTGGTGCAATCATATGAAATACAGACGGTATTTTGATATGTGCGTGGTAGGATTCATGGGAAGTTGGTGTCGTGTTGCTGGGAACCAAGCCTCAACGCATGAATGCACAACACTAGTAATGGACTACACAGCTATGAATGATGAGTTATGTGTTAGAGTAAGGATGTCTCTCTGGGACGTGCACGCCTGATTGAGGAAAATTAAAAATTTTAGGCATATCTTGAGCACTTTCTCTAAGATTAAGAATGCTTTTTTATTTATTTATTTTATGTCAGAGAATGATATAAATCATTAAAAAAATTCTCATCCAACACTGTTAAAATTTTGAGTTGAGATGATTATTTATATTGTATCAAAACTTCAGTAATCATGATATCATGAGTTCAATACTCCTTCACTTTCAAGTGAAACTAAAATATGTATAAGATAAACCAAAAATTGAGTATAAGTAATATCCATACTGTAAGTCCAATGGACTTTTACGTAAAGATATATGTTAAAAAATAATATAAATTATTAAAATAACCCTCAATCAATTTCTTAAAATTTGTAATTGAATTAATTTTTTATATTGGTCAATTTTAACTTGTAATTCAACAAGCAGATTGCACTGTACATAGAGTTTCAATGACAAGTAACATCTATTTAGACCGAGAAGAAATGATCAGTCATTTTCTCGGGGACAGTGTACTGATCAGTGGCTTCAAAGGTTAGTCGTTTTGATTGTAGTGATAACAAAATAATGATAGACCATATTACAAGCGGATTATTTGATAATCCATTGAATCACAAGGGTAGTTTGATGTTAATAAAGTGATAGTGAGGAGGTTGAATATAGATACTTGAGGAGGTTGAATGTAGATACTTTTATTGAAGTTCTAGGTGCTGAAGAGGGGGAAAAGAAGAAAGAAATATGAGAGGTGACATGATTAGGATCATGTTACATTACCCAAAAGATTATAGCCAATTAACAAAGGGTTCATTTTTTCTACAGTTAATGTAGATAACTTATCTACAGTAAGTCCAAAACGATATTGTTTTGAGGCGGAAATCAAGATATTTTTCTAATTATAATTTATTTCAGGGTTATAATAGTCTTTTTCATTATAATTTATTAATTTTTCAATACAAAACGATGTCGTTTTAGAAGCGAATGTAGATAACTTATTTATATTTACTTTAGAAACATTAAAGCGATTAACAAAAGACCTCAGTTGTTTACTCCCGACAATATTAATTATTACTAGCAAGATAGATAAATGGGAGAGGATTTTCTTATGTAAAAGTTTTATATGACTTGATTATGTGAAATTCTTATGTCTATTTCTTTTTTACTTAATGATAATAGTAAAATTCTTATGTAAAAGTTTTAGGAACGAAGGCTTTTTATGTTTTATCTTCTTCTTTTTTTGTAAACGGGTGTTTTATCCTTAGTTATACGTATAAATGAATAAGAATTTCAAGAAATCTATGTATATATTTATATATGTATTTTGTTTTTTCAAAAGGAGTTACAACAAAGGAAGGAAAGAATAATGAAATAACAAACACAAACAGAACTCGTTCTACTGGATGTGCACCCACATTCCCTTGCCAGGCAAACCACGGTGGACGACAAAGAGCAAGTAATACCCAGGAGGAGCAATCTCACCGGACGGTGGCGCCACCAACCTAACCCTATAAAAGCCTTCAAATGTCATTATATTCTCAGTCTTGAGATACAAAAGCCTCTGGCCCATAGAGAACCCATGAGTGGTGAAAGGTGGGGAATACATGGTAACCTTAATGTCATTCAAAGTCAACATAGCTTGATCTTCAACCGAGAATTGTGTCTCAAAGTATCCTCCATATCTCAATTCCTTATCCGAAGCAAACTCATTGATCTGTGGCCTATACTTGTCAAACTTTGCATCAAGATAAGGAGGAGAGAAAGCCTCAACTCTAGTCTCAGTTGGGAACTTATCTTGATCCTTATACCTATCGTGTGTGTTGCTTCCACCAACCCAAATCTTTCCACTAGGAAGCACTGCTGAAGTTGAATGGTACATTCTGGCAATTTGGCTTGGCTTCAACACCCTAAACCTCAACCCTTTAGGCTTCAGAGGGCTATACAAAACGGGGGTGTAGTTAGGTGCATCAGCATCCCACCATGCTGCCGTGCCTACTTGTGCACCGTTGATGAGTAAGAGTTCTCCATTGGGGAGGATCAGAGCATCTCCCATGGTTCTCCTCGAAGGCATTAACTCTCTGTCCCACTCAGGGAATTGTTCTGAGATGGTTAACCTGTTGCAGTCTTGAAGAGCTGGCAGGAAGATTTTCTTGGTCTCAGCTAACTCGAAAGCGTTGGGGAGGTTTCCACCGCAGACAATGACCTCAGCCTTGAGGGTGGCGGCGTTGAGGTCTATTGGGAGGAGAGCTGACATGCCGGAGGCTGGGTAGTTACGGGAACCGCCGAGCAAGACGGGAAAGGTGCGAACGATTTTGTGGGTAGTGGGGTTGAGGAGGAGGGACCGGTTGTTTGAGAAGATGAAGAGGTTACCGTCGGTGGAAAGGTGGACAAATGGGTAGAGGTTGTTCTCGTCGAAATCGGAGGTCTCGTAGAGGAATGGGAAGAAGTAGGGTTTCTCGCCTTTTTGGCCTTCCTTTGGAAGGAGCTCATAGCTGAAAGATCTGCGCCCTCCTATCACAATGAAGTCTCCATTGGGAAGGAGTTGTTGAGTTCCATACCTGTTCATTTTGTACCCAAATTAATCTCCTATAAGATGATGATATCATTATATGCATGGAATTGAAGAATGGAATATATAGTGATAACACGTGTCATATTCATATTGTATTAATTTGTTCAATGTCTCTCATCATAGGTTATATAAATTTAATGGTAAGTTTCAAATTGAATTAATTGTTCAATCAACAAATTACTGATGGCCGCAAAATTAGAAAAATAAAAATAAAAATTGAAGTATCAAGATGTATATATAAGATGGAGTAAATGAAAATGGGGCTTTAATATATATATATATATATATATATATATGGGGCAGGATATTCTTACACCGGTGTAAGAGTTACAAGTCTTACACTCAATCTTGACCATTGATCCACTTGTATCTAATGGCTCACATTACTAAAAAATTTGAGCCCTTAAATATAAGTGGGATCAGCGGACAAGATTGAGAGTGTAACTTACACTGGTGTAAAATGATCATCACCCTATATATATATATAGCGCGTAGGTTATATATAGTACCATCTTTCCTCTGCCAATGCGTTGTCATATTCCCTCCATTGACAGTCTTGGCAATCAGGACCACCTATGAATCTGAGGGTTTTTCCTCCATCTAGGAAACCACCAGAACCCACGAGGGTACCGTCAGGTGCAAGCCCTCCGCTTGAGCACCACGGATCTCCCCCTCCTATCTGCACCAAATTAAGTTAAAACCTATTTATTAGTCATCTCTCAATCTCATCCATCAATATTATATTCTTCTAATTAAACCTTGATCAGGTGTGAAAAACAAATTAAAATAATGATATGTATACAAACCTTGAGTGGCCTAACTTGATTTGTCTCAATATCGTATTCCATGGAATGAGCAGCACAATCAAGTTGGTCATTTTGATTGGCATCTTTGTACGGAAGGCATGGCACCCCATCTTGTAATTTGAGTCTTGAGTTACGGTAAATTTTGGAGTCAAAGACGATTATCTTATTTGTTGGCAACAAATTGATATGCATGGCTGATACACCTGAGTTCTCAGAAATCAGCTCCCAATGCCCAAAAGATACCATATTGAAATCACCCTTGTTTTCTTCCCCTCCTCCAATAACCTGATCATCTTTATCATTTTGACCAGGAAAATTGTTATTATCATCCGAGGGTTCTTGCGTGAAAGGTAAGGGAGGGAGGTGTGGGATTGGAAGGAGTGGGATTCGAAGGTGTGGGTTTTTGCGTTTGTGGCGTCTGTGTTTGGCATTCACAGCAAGGAAAAAGAGCGTGAGAATCAAAAGAACCTTATGCAAATGTGCCATTATTGGTAAAAAAATAAACAAAAAAATTAAGTGTTTTTGATGATCAGAACAAGACACCCCCCACTAAAGCCTGAGTGGGTTTTTGGGTATCTGGTTCCTTAGGATAGGTTGTGAGTAATGCACCTCTAGGTGTGCTTAATATATATAGTCGTCAAAGGCTGTTGGGTTAAGCATTAATTCGTCAAAATAGCAAATGGTTTAAGCCATGTTTTGAGGAAACAGTTGCGTTGTCTGTTTAGTTATAATGACAATATTACAAGGCACCAAGCCTTTCTCTTGAGTTGTACCCTAAAAAAAAAAGATCCAATTTAAATGCGGTAAGTGAATAACCATAAAGTTCCTTCGAAACCCTTTGTTGCATAACACATTCTTGTCGGCTATGAATTGACTTTAACAAATTCCATAATGACAACACATCTCAACTCCGTATTATAATTCTTAAAGACCATTGATAATGGTATAATTGGAGTCTTTAAAGGTGTATAGTGGCGCTTCAGAAACTTCAGCATACACGGCAAAAACCATGTTAAGGGATCTATAACCATACGTTTCAACATGCATTCATGTATTTCAGATATTAAATTACATTGTTACCGTTTGAGTAACATTTAGCTCCGTAGTTGACGAACTTGTTCTGCATATTGCACCAGCATGCCAATAATATTCGAGCGAAGCACTATTAATCACCTAAGGAGGCATTTGGTACATCAGCATTTCTACATGGATGGATATGTTAAAAACAGTAGGATTTCGGGCATGTTTGTAACACCAACCTCAGGTGTGTTATTTTCACATGTCCTAATACTGTCTCTCTCACCCACACAAAATACACAAGGAGTTCTTCTAATATACTTCTCTATTATTACTGATTCTGCCAAGCCACTTTACAAGGGTTACAATGTGCTTTTTATAAGCAACAACAAATGATTAAGAATAATAATGACTAACATAAGAAATCTAAACATATTAATTATCCACTAACATATGCCTAGGGACACACCGTAAACAAAAACCCTTCATATTTCTAAATTAAAGATTAACCTAACAAAACTCCCCCTTAATCTTTAACATCTCTACCGTCCTTCATGCCCATCTTCTTACAATTTTCTAACAACAACGTCGGCAGTGGCTTTGTAAAGATGTCACCAACTTGATCTCGGCATGCAACATGATTTAGCTCCACTTTTCCTTCTTTAACTTGATCCCGGATAAAATGAAATTTACCATCAATATGTTTGCTCCGCTCATGATTGACCGGATTCTTAGCTAACTCGATCGCGGACTTGTTGTCAACTCGAATCTCGGTTGGGCCGACTTGCTCTTGCTCCAGCTTGCTTAGTAAATTTCTCAGCCATATTGCTTGGCAAACACACCAAGATGCCGCAACATACTCGGCTTCACATGTAGACAGGGTCACAATGGGTTCCTTCTTCGACACCCAAGTAAACGCCGTGTTTCCCATGAAGAACACATAGCCAGCCGTGCTCTTCCTATCATTAACATCTCTGCACCAATCACTGTCTGAATAACCCGTCAGTTTGTATTTGTCCGACTTCGAGTAATGAAGTCCTTGTGAGATTGTTCCCTTCACATATCTCAGAATTCTCTTAGCTGCCTTCCAGTGAGTGTAGCTCGGGTCTTCCGTAAACCAACTTATGATCCCAACACTCAGGATTTCGGGCATGTTTGTAACACCAACCTCAGGGGAACGCAGGATGATGCCGTGGACTAATCTTCACAATCTCTTCTTTACTTCAACATAATTTTGTTTGTCATTAGTGTCGAGATATATAGTCTCACATTGTTGTATGTGCAATTAATGTGGAGTTTATAAAGCATTGGGCACTCTCACCCTTTGAGCATCTCAAAGTTCTTTACATGGTATCATTTCATGGTTGGTCTGCAGCTAGAGAATAGTGCAAAACATGGAATACAAAAATAGTCAAAAATGAAATAAGGAATTAGCCAGAACTATAACAAATGGGGAGTAGAGGTAATCTTGCTTACTAAACATTAGCTGCCTTCGGATGCTTAGGGAGCGTTTGGTTGAGGAGAAATTTTTTGAATACTAGAGAAATAGAATTGATAGGGAAATGGTAAGAAAGTGAGATAGATAGAAAAATATAAAAAAAAGTTGTTTGGTGCGGAAAATTTTTACTGGGGAAATTAGGTAACTTTTAGGAAATGTATATTTGGTTGGAGGTAAGATATAGATGAAAAAAGAATATGAAATGACAAAAATAACCATGACTTTAAATGTTTTGTTTCGCTTGCAAGGGTACAACAGAGTTGTCAAATCAGGGGCACACTCGTCTTTCTCATTGTCTGCTTAAGTGAGAATTTGTCTTGCTTTTTGCCAATACCACATATGCGGAGGAGTTTCTTGGGCGGCTTTTTTAGCACAAAATGCTATGCATCTACATTAGATGGCTAAATCAGGAAGGACCCCAAACCAAACGAGCGTTTCTTAGTTTCCCACTTATGATATGTCTATAATTCTCAACATTTACCCCAAACCAAACACCCCCTTAGTCTCTTTGGCTAGTTTGCTTTGAGAGACCCATCCAGACCAACACCAAACACAATGACAGTTGATCATGTCCATTGACTTACAAATAATTTTATGAACCTTGAAGAAGCGATGGATAGAATTATTAAACAAAGATATATTCTTCAAAAGACCTTTACCAGCCAACATTCTTATCAAAAGCAATTCTCATTTCAAGCTTGTTACCAAACCCAAATAGTCCTAAAGCAATATGGAAATCCAAACTGTAAACCTTTCCTCTTCAACAAAATTGATCACCGACAGAAAATCCAAGCATTTCAAACTTCCAACTTTTTGATGGAAAATAAATTCAGGCAAAATTCTTGATAGAATCTAAATTCCGTCGAAACTTTTAAAGAAACACATTTTCTTCAAAAAAAATTTATAGTAAACAATTTCGTCAAATTTTTTTATAGAAAATATTTTTGTCAAAATTTTTGACAGAATTTAAATTTCATCGAAAATTTTATCAAAAAACATTTCTATCAAAATTTTCAATGCAACACATTTCCAACGAAAATTTTGAGGAAAAAAATTTAATTAAAAATATTAGACGAAAAAATTTTCTGTAAAAAATTCTGACAATTTTTTTTTTGTCAAAAATCTTTTACGGAATCTAAATTTCGTCAAAACATTTCCCTCAAAATTTTTGGCAAAAAAACATATGCATCGAAATTTTTGATGAAAAATATTTCTATCGAAATTTTCAACGGAACAAATTTCCATTGAATTTTTTTGACAAAATATTTCGGTAAAAAAATTTGACAGAAAAAAAATGTCAAAATTCTTTTCTGAATCGAAATTTTGTCGAGTGTTTCAACGAAAACATTTTTGTCAAATTTTTCGTCGAAACATATTTTCATCGAAAATTTTGGACAGAAAATATTTCGTCAAGATTTTTGACGAAATTTTTTTGCATCAAACATTTTGACTGGATAAAAAATTTAGTTGCCTTGCAACGAAAAGTATTTCGACAAAAAAAAATACTTTTTCTATGAAATTTTTGTCGTTTGCAACAGAAAAATTTTGTAAAAAAATGTGATCTTTTATAGTAGTGTGAAAAGTACATAAATAATTTTGCTAGAAATTTTAAATTTAATTTAATTTGTAAAATATAATAATTATATCAATTTTTAAAAAAGGTTAAAATGATAAAAATATCTCATTAACCTTCATTTGTTTTCTTACCATTTTTTTAACACACATACAAGGGGAGAGAATACCTTTTAATTTCCTTTCCCTCCCTCCTCCTTGGATCTCCTTTTTTCCCTTCCCATCCTAACTCTCAAACAAAGCCTTCAACAACTTTTGTCTATGTTTTCCTTTTTTGAAGTTTAAAACTTGTACGGATTATAACTTGTTGGTATTGTCTTTATATTAGTTACAATGAGCAATATGGCATTCTAAAGATGAACTCAGAGTAATTATTATATATTTAGTGGGATTTGTAATTGTTATGTTGCAGGAAACTCATTGCATCATGCTATAGAGAGATCAAAAACCGAGTCTCAAATATTTTGTTTTTTTGATTTTTTTTAAAAGCAATGGGACCCACCGATGTTTTCTCTGTAGGAAAATGGAATTCGTTCCTGTTGCATAACATATAGTAATCCCATATTTAATTAGTCTGAGCGTATTGATCTGTTCATGAGATTTGTCATTCTGAATTTATTTTTAAATACGAAGAGCCTAAGCCTTTGTTTGGGAGTTGGTTTTAGGAGGGGAAAAAAAGGAAAGGGAATGTTTTAGTAACCCCTTCACTTGTTTGTGAGTTTAAAAAAATGAGGAGAAAAAATTAAGAATTTTTATTAAACCCCACTTCTTCTTAAAATTATTTATCTACCCTTAGCATTAAAATGTGAAAACTACATAAATATGAATATTTTCAAATGTGACAATATTAGAAAAGTCTCAAATACCGACATAATTTATCGACGAAAAATATTTTATCGAAAATAGTGAGAAATTTTTGATGAAAATCATATACATAAAAAAATTCCTTTAAAACTAAAGACGAAATTAGAGACGGAACCAGATTTTGCCATAATCACTGATATAATTTTTTCACGAAAAAAATCAGTCAAAATTATTAATAGAATCTAAATTCTGTCAAAACTTTCAATGAAAATATTTCTGTCCAAAATTTTGACAAAACACATTTTCATCAAAAAATTTCTACATAAAACAATTACGTGAAAATCTTTTTCGGTAAACATTTTCATCAAAATTTTCCTAAAAAACTTTTGATGAAAAATAATCCATCAAAATTTGTGATTAAAAATATTTCTGTAAAAAAGTTTGACGATTTTTTTTTGTCAAATTTCTTTACGGAATCTAAATTGCGTCAAGATATTTCCCTAAAAATATTTTACAAAAAAACATATACTTCAAATATTTTGACGAAAAATATTTCCATCAAATTTTTCAACGAAACACATTTCCATCAAAAAAA